GAAAAATGGTTGGCCAAGAGTTCAATCGTAGAAGGTTGAACTCCGCCCGAAGAGAGGGTATTTAACAAAGTTTGTCGGTTAACCGTGTTGAAAGCATCACTATAGTCAAGAAGACATATGCGGATAGTCTTACTTTTCTTGTCCAGGTTAGATAAAACATTGTGGGATAGAATAAGCAAGGGCATCCAGGGCACCACGGGAATGGGTGTATGCATACTGGTTAGGGTCAACAACATTGAATTGTGTGGACAGGGTCTTAAGGAGGAGCCTCTCAAACACCTTCAGGACAACTGAGGTGCAGGCAATGGGACGGAATTTTGAGGATCCTTTCTTAGGCACAGGGATGATAGAAGCTAGTCTCCAACAGTCGGGTATACGTTGCTGCAAAATGCAGTCATTGAAAAGTGCACACAGTACAGGGGAAATGAAGGTAGCACATTGTGCAGATGATCAGGCATATACATCACAACTTGGCGTTGCATTGTAAACCGCAACAGCTACGAATTTCGGCTGACTCATTGTTTGAAGAACGAGTGCAGAATGATAAATATTCGGCAAGATCTCTGGAAACAAGGTTAAAGCGATTTGTCACCCATACAAGTCACGATCGACTGATGCATAAAAGCTCACAGAACATACGACGAACTGAAGAATAGAAGGCGGCAAATCTTAGCGGAGTTTTTGTTTCGTGTTGAGGCATGAATATTTTTTGCCGCTTTATTAGTTTATGTTGCAGTGAATGGAAGTAATGCTATTGGTTGGTAGAGCAACCCAGAGATGATAAACTGCCTCACGCACACTTAGGGGACCGTTCGATTCTGGACACTGAGCAAAAACAACAACAATAACAACGGTCTCTAGAGTCGTCTACCTGCAACGGATCCAGCACGACACCGTCCTCCGTCTCGACTTCTCTTTTGTAGATGATCATATCCCCGTCCAGTGCAATTACTTGCCAGTCATCCGATCCATCCTGACCATTAGTCTGGCCACTGACTGCAGGTCCGGACCACCCTGTGGAAGGGTTAGAGCCATTCGTGGAGCTAGAAAGATCACCGGCTGAACGCGAGGTGCGCTGTCCTGGTGGAAGAAATGCCTGTGAGTTAGCGAAGTTACGAATCCTTTCGACCACTGCCTTTTCCAAATCGGCGTAGAGTGGGTGTGTGGTGGGCATGGCCTGGGCAGATCGCAGCAATTCTCCGGCGGATTTGAGTGCAGCCAGACGCAAATCATCTTCTGTTATTATGAAACACAACAAAATAAATACGTAGGTCTAACATTAGGAGAGTATCAGTGGAATGTGAAAAACAAATTCAGGGCAATCGTGGACAGGAGGTTGGAGGATAAAACATGGAAAATGGAGAGAAAAGAGAGAAAGGAAAAGTGAGTTGGTGAGGGAAACCATGAAGGAAGCGCGTGAGGGAATACTAAGTCTAAAATACACAATGCGATGAAGTATGTATGAATGACGGCTTCACGTGTTCTGTTGGTTACTGGTCGGGTCACTAAATAAACGTTTCACTTTTGTGCGCCGGTTTTGGTTGCTGTCCTCTGGCTACCAATTTAGATCAAGCAGTAGAAAGACAGCAAGATTCAAAGTAGAGTCAAAGAAAAAGTTTCGAGAACTCCAGCAAACTACGGCTGCAAAGAAAGCCAGAAGGTGCACGAACGCCACCGTTTACGTCAATCACCCATAACACTCAGTGTCCCTAACCATCGGTTACGGCTATCCCAGGGTCCCCATCCTGGTAGTCTAACGGGACTCATGTGACCGAGTCCCCTGGTTAGGGTTTTCATACCCTCGTGTCAGGTCTTAGCTTCAGTTCAGTTATTACAATCATTAACCATGCTCCTTCGTGCGTCGGTTTTCGTTGCTGTCTTTAGGCTACCCATTGGGATATAACAGCAGAATGAAGATTGGAATGTCCAAGCAAATTCAAGTGGAAGATGGAGAATTCACATAGAGTGGTCTTAGGAGATTAATGAGTAGATGCATGAGTGCCAGTGTTTGCGACACCCAGCCATATCGCTCGGTGTCTCTAACCATCGGTGACCATCATCTCGGGGTCCCCAGCCAAGGAGCCAGTCACCTGGTCAGAGTTTTCATACCCTCATGCCAGTTCTTAGTTTGACCCCCCTTGATCTTTTTCCAGCAGCTACCTGCTTCGGCAAACATCGCTCGCCGTGGCAACCTATCTGGTGACAAGCATAGCACATGTCACAACCAACGTAATCTATGAAGGTCTTAGACTGATCACCGACATTTGGAAATGTTTGAATCGGCAATTCTGCGTGAGCCCAACGTGATAGGTTTGACACGGTATAAACACGC